TTTTTTTTTTCCATAATATGTTTATTCATTCAATGATATTGTGCCGTGAGTTCTGAACTTGTATCAAGCTCCTCTATCATATTATGGAAAAAAAACATATCGGATCCATTTAAAAAAATTAAGATGACCTTGGTATCTCCGAAGCGCCTCCACCTGGACAAAAATATTATCGCTATTATAATAGCCCCCTTCGTACCGTGAAATTTTGGTTACACAAATCTTCTTCTGGGACTTATAGATTCGAAGATATTTAAGGTCCTAATAGTTATTGCCCCACCCTGTATATATACCATAATATATAACTATATATTATAATTATTGTCAAAGTTCTTATCTTTGTAAAATTGTTAAGACCGTAATTGCTTTTGAACGAGCTATTAAATTATAAGTAAGTTCTAATAAGGGTTAGCAAATAATTGAAAAATTTTAAGTACGACACTTTGATTACATAAATTTTATGTCACTTTAAATTAACATAATTTTTGTAAGAAACTTTGTAAGATATCAGATATTAAAGTTGCGTTAAGAGTTTTGGTAACTTTTAATTTTTCTCGGAATTATAAGAGAAAGGAGAGAAAGAGAAAGAAGAAAATTTTCAAATTCTGTTAAAAAAAATTAACTTAAGATGTAAAGATATCTACTACATCTCTATTTTACAGTCTTATTCGAATTAAAAGATTTTTATTTTTAATATAAAAAACGATGATAGAACTTGCTGAAATCAAAATTAATATTAGACAATAATATTTCTTTATTATAAAAAATATTATAAATTTTTGTATTTTAAATTTATATATACCATATTTTTTTAATTTCAAACAAAAATTTTATACTACATGATGCGTCAATAATTACTACGAAAACAATGACACCAATAAAATTATAAACTATCATCGTTCTGATGAATGCAAGAGTTCGAGGTCACGGCCTTAGAACTCACTAGGGTTCTCGTTTCCGCTCTATACAAATTTTATTCCTTATACCAACAAGAAGACGAAATATAAAACTGTCACATAAATTTTATAGCTGTACGTATACCTCTATTAGAAATACAACATGCCAAATTAATTTCTATGTATTTAGAAGTAAATGTTTCACTTCTATTATTGATTGTTTTCATGAAACCGAAAAACTGTCTATAAATAATTTTTCAAAGAAAATAAATGTAATAGCGTAATTTTTATAAAAATTAATATAATATATTTTTCTGATAAGTAATAAAAAAAGATAAAGCATTGAAAGAAATTTGAGAAAAGAGAAACAGAATTGTACATATATACAGCATTTTCAAAAGTTCACAAAGATATCATCACAAGCGCACTTTTAAATTAGCATATAATATTGCTATTGCTTTCTTTCTTATTATTTATACTATTTATAGATTATTAAAATGTAAAACAAAGCATAAGATTCTACATGAAATTGAAAATCATCGTACTTACCACTTTCACTTTAGAAGTTTTAGAGCAATTCTATTTACGAGTACTGGTATATAATTTCTTGCATTCCGGCAAGAACTAATTATAACTTTGAACTTAATTGAGGGTCGTCACAGCGCTAGTGTAATGTGAAATATTACGTGGCTGTGACGGTACATTAAATTGTTAAGCACGACAAACATTGCAATTGCTTTTTGATGTGTGATGTTGATTTTATAATTCTTATGTACAGAATCGACAAAAATTATACCACCTTTAGATTTTCTGACCATAACTTTCGTCAAAGTGCATCGAATGTTTTCAAAATTTTACAGTAGATACCTGATAACAGGCGCATCTTGTACATGAAAGGCCAGGAAATTTGACAAAATACACTGTGATTTTCGAATTTTTCATTCGTGCACTTTAAAACTAGTTGTGCTCATTAATTGTAAGGTGATATAATTTTGCCCGATATATTAATAAGAATATGAATTAACAAATACAAAACGAAAAATAAAAGAAATCTTAAGAAATATATGTAGACTTTACATGAATTACAGAAATATGCAATCAATATAAACAAAGATATAAATATAACACAATAATGAATAAAAAACCAAAATGTCGAAACTTACGAGGATATTATTCTGTACATATGATATATTACGTGGATAATGTCTCTTCTCAATGTCAGCGTTTGACTAAAGCTGTTATTATTGTAATTTTAATAGCCTTTCACACGATAAGAGTGTCTAAAGTCGGGAAATAAATCATTTTGACCTAAGTGGTCTGTTGATTGAAATGCCAGTAAACAAGAGCGGCTTAAATCGATGAAAATGGAAAGAAGCTACGTTTGTGATATCTTAAAAATTAAAAGATTTTTTGTAATAGCACATTAAGAATATCAATGTCTTTTTTATGCGGTCAATGACAGAATATTATATGTTAACTAACCTACCAATCTATATTATTAATATTTTAGAGAGAGAGAGAGAGAGAGAGAGAGAGAGAGAGAGAGAGAGACCGATTTAATTGAAATTTAGATAGATGTTTCTATAGCCTCTCAATAGTGACACATACTCGTATTATGCGTTTTCATTTTTGCGCATTTGCGGAGACTGGACGTGCGCAGTTAATATTGTATACCGATTGTCTGATTAAATTGAATTTTTAATAGATGTTTCCATTGATAGTGTCGGCAGTGTCATAAGTCATTGTCACCTTTGCGCGTCGGAGAACTAATGTGCGCAGATAACATCGTGCAACGATGTCGCATTAGATATACTTCTAATATGCTGCATATATAAATGATTCTTTTATAATTTATAAAATTTGTAATTATTCCGAAACATTAAAAAAATATGCTACAATCAATAATATGAATATGATAAATTTGATAAATATAATATTACGTACTTAATTATGATATATTTTCTGTTGTTCGCTTATTAATCAAGCGTAAGCAAATATTAATGCATACCTCATAAAAACCAGGCAAACAGATTTTTCAACTTGCAGAAACAATAATGTCGCAATATGCATTTCTTTTCTTAAATGTCGGTCGTGATTGTTGCAATGCTTCATACTCACATTCTTAACAATACGGCACGTGTCTGAGCAATGTAAGTGCTATTACATTGCAATTAACCGCAATTATCCGCGGGAAAGCTGAAACTAAAAAGAATTGTGTCAACTTAAAGAATTGTGTCAACGATTAGAGGCTTGAAAATTTTTGGAAATTAACTACGCTAATTATAACTAATAATTTCAAATGATTTCAGATAAAAAGAAAATAGGTGTTATTATTTACTTCTGTTTACTGACACAAACAAAAATAATTCTAATTAGAAATATTTTTAATAATTTTTGGCTCTATTTTTTTATACAAATTTATTTTAGAAAATATGAAGTATGCGTATGTGTGTGTACACGTGTGTATGTGTGTACGTGTGTATAATATCTTTCTTACTTATTAGATTAACTCTTGTAATTGAAAACACAAATATTAAAAGATGTATTCAATGAACGACGTATACCGAATATATCGATGCCATATTATGCCCAGAATACAACTTCATATTGTATCAGCTGGTTAAATTGGCCCAAGGCCAAAGGTCAGGAATTCGACAAATGGTGAAAGGTCAGAGTTTAAATGAATTTCAAATTTGGAATTTGGGTTCTTCTTATATTATAATTATCTATAAATATTCAATGTTCTTTTCATAATTGTAATGGTAGGTCAAGTTGCCTACTTAGAAGGGGTAGACGTACTTCATCAGTGCGATACTTGGAAGACCCCGTATTTCTTACACAAGCTTGCTGTAATTATAATACAATGACAGTAACATTATGGCGAAGAGGAAAGGTTAAATACATTGTCGCAGTCGGTTTGGAAGCTTCATAGCGACTAGTCGCCTTGAAGGAAATTGTTGAAAAGAGTAGTCAGTAAAGGTATCTGCTAACAATAAGTGGTCAAATACAACGTTAAGCTTCGTATTACTCAGTTTGCTAGAATAATCAGGAATAAGTGTTAAAAAAAAGTTAAAATTGAAAAACACTTTTTCATCGAAACTGACTTATTAATAAGAAAAAAGGATAATTAATTAATCAAAATTAATCAAACGTTCTTCTTTCTTGTTCATATCAATATCGCGATAAACTGTGTAAATAAAATAAGCTTCTCATCACCATTTTGTTGGAGTTCTACAAAAGTAACACCAAAACTAGTTCAGTATCATCATAATGACTACAATGCTAGAGAAGTTTGCAGTATGGTATAAATACCTTAACGATGATTTGGCGGGTAAATATTTTATTTTCTTACTTACATTATATTTTTCATTTATTTAGGTATGTTTGTTATATTTTCGAAATAATTTCATTATATAATAAATTATATATTAATATAATTTGTATAAAAAGCCTTATAAAATAGGTACAGCAAATAATTTGTGATGTGTGTGTAAGTGTGTGTGCGTATCTATAACTTAAAAAATATTTCAGGAAGAAGAAATCTTTCGCAAGATTAAGCTTGTTTAAACAATTAAGGTCGGTATTCATAGTCAGATCTTATATTCAAGACTGTTTTGAATTTCTCTAAAGATGTTGTATGGAATATTTCATTGGCTACGGAATATCTAAAGAAGATTTTAAGACAGCCTTTAATATAAGATCTGACTATGAATACCGGCCTAAGATTAATAATTCCTTAATGAACACTTCAATTTTGTTTATGTGATATTTTATGTGTGTTTATGCGCACGCGCGCGCATGTGATTTTTAAAATTCAGTATCTCGATAACTATTCGTCCAAGCGCAAAATAGTACAGGACTTTTCTGTTTGTCTTAGTCCCCTCTATCTTCCCATGACCGGTCTTCAATATGTTGCGGAGCACCCTGTATACTTATTTAGCAAATTTGAAAATAAAATATCTTTTTATTTAGAAACTATTAAAAAACAACAGTTTCCTCAAATATTTGACATTCTGTATCTTTAAAACATTATTTTTAAGGACTTTGGCATTATTCATATATGATTTTCTTCATAAAATGACCTCAAAAATTAAGTTTTTAAATATTGAACACTAGTTAAGAAACAATTTGTGTGATGAGCGTATTATCTTTTCTAACACATCTCGTAACAACGTTTATAACATTATAGTGACATATATTTCTATATCATTAAGTACATTTTTATTTTTATTTTTATTTTTCCTGCACATTCTACTTGCACATGCGTAATGCTATAATATAACAATAGTATAAATAAATTAATGAACATCACTGAAACTATCTGCTTCTCGTCGTAAGAAAAAGATAACTAATCAAAAATTATGAAAAAGATAATAGTAAAAAAATAATAAATCAGAATTAACACCTTTTTCGTCAGCATGTTTTCACCTTTTTAGTCCATTAGTTCTATTAGTTTAATATTTTAATGATTTTCTTAATTTTAGCAATAAAAGTGTTATACAAATATTGGTATCAATAGTAATTTTTATATACAATCGTAAAATGCATAACATTAATCGTGTAATTATACAGGGTGTGTCCTAATACCCGTATGTCCCGTAGATGGCAGATAGACCGGGGCAAACTGAATAGAAAAGTCCTATACTATTTTGCAAAATTCGCGGTAGTTATCGAGAAATTAATTTTAATGTCTGAGCGAATGAGAGCGTAGAAGGCGCCAGGCTGGACTCGGCAGGCAACGGTGGGGCATCATCTAATAGCGAGAGGTGGAGCGGCGCGCCGAAAAAAGTTGTCCAAAAAGCTCGCCGCTCGCTCCCAAGGAGCGCCAATGCACGTATAATGCGCTCTAAATGTGCATTAAAATTCGCATTAAATGCGAATTGTACATGCACATTTAAAGCGCATATTTGTCCCGCATGAAATGTAC